AAGTTCCAGAGAGGATGTTTCCATACTTTCGGAACATGTGGCCCAAACCAAAATGGAAGGACTGTCAGCTGAAAGAGCAGAGTCGTCATTCTATCTACAGATTGACATCGACCAGAACTAAGTTATCACTCAAGATAAGCACGGAAAAGCAGCTCGGTGCAGAAAAACCTACGGGGTTAAGAAACAGATGTCTGATGTAATGCCAGTTAATTTAGGAAGCAATTTCATAATCAGCGGAACATGTTTTCAAAACAGATTTGCATTCACAACAGCATCTAATCTAAGCACTTATAGAGGATACAATCAGCTCTGGTTATTACACAAACAACGATAAACAGACATTGGGGTATATCTATTTTTTTCATTTTAAAGCCGTCAAACTGATTTTTACTTTTACCAAGTGTGTTGTACAGAGGACATTAAGTCATCAGTCAAACAAACAACCTTTTCCTTCATAATGACAACAGCTAAGTTTCAACACTAGCAGTTTAGTCATCCATTAGTCATGTATCCCATCCAGATGTCTGGTGGAGGAGAGGAGGGGAGGAGGAGATAGCAGCAGGTGTAGATCTCTCTGAGCCCAGCTGAGCTCTAAAAGGCAGTGCTTAGCACCCACAGCTCTGTCATCTGGCCTCTCCCCTGTCTCCACCAGCCTCTCGACAGCCCATTCCTCATCATTTACCCCTTTTTGGCAAAGCCCAGAGCCCTTCTAATGGGCCACTCTGAATGCTTCCAGATGTTTGTTTATTTGTTGTGCAGCAACTGTAAAACAGTTTACTCTTAGCTTGGATCCGTTCCCGTTGCTCCATTTCGGGGAGGAGTGCCGAGGGAGCTGTGGGGATTGGAGCAGGAGCTGCAGTGCAGATCACCTCGACATGTAACAAAAGCGAACTTCTAAACAAATGCGAGGTGCCCCATGGGTATCATCAGAAAGGAGGTTTTTTTTTTCTTCTTTGAAGGCTGCTTTCCTCTGGGGATTTTAATAACAGTTGTGCACCATTTAAGTTACATACATACAAAGTAGCTGGAAGCAGGCCCAGAAAAGCGAGATTAAAAGGGCCCAGGGCTCATACTGTAAGGCAGATACCAGGTGGGGCTTTTTTTCTTGATCTATTTACTCGGCTTGTACAGAGATATCCCCTTCATTTACAGCTGTCACTGCTGAAGGATGGCCCAATCAGATTTAATCTGATACATGTGAAAAAGCAGCTTCTAGTGTCTGGCATATTTATTGAATTATACAAAGGAAATGAAAGGCAGTTCATTAAAATTTCTTCTGTGCACACGGACACATAAATCAAGTCTCAAGCCTTGCTCTTTTTAAAAAAAAAAAAATACATACCTCTTAACTACAGCTATAATTAGATCTATGAAATCAACATGTAAATCTGACTTCAAAATGTGCCACCTCAAGAAAAAGACAAGGTGGTAATAAATAACTCAGCACATTTTTTTTTCTTTTCCAGGCTGAAATGATACATCTTCACAGTAAGACACAAGACTGCATCGTGTAATTGGCTGTGTAATAGTGTAGTATAGACCAGTCTTCATGAAGGCAAACTATACTTTACACTGAGACTGCATCTTGGACCGTTAGATTCAGAGTCGAGCTGACAGTTGGACCAGCACTGAGAGTTAGAGCTAAGGTGACAGTAGTGGACGATCCTCGGGCCCCTCTGCCAGACTATGTACTCCACTCTGTGTCACGCCTTCGCCAAGACACGCTAGAGCCGCCCACCATCCTCCTTCACTTTGCCTTTTGTCTAGTTTCCTCTCATTCTGAAGTCTCATCTTCTTTCACTGTTTAAAGCTGCCCCTCTTCTTGATTTTCCCGTCCTTTCCCCCCTACTTTCCTCTCTGTCTGCTGTCAGATGTCTATGAAATTACGATTTAGATTTCACTACCACAGCAGCAAATGTTTTTTCACTACTCTCCCCTGCTCTTCTCTCTGCTACCTTGTTTTACTCCGTGTCCTTCACCAACCAAGACAGGAGCACAGTTTCCACCCCTCGGTCCCTGGGCAGTGACCTGCCAGTGCTGCCTTCCATTGGGAGCTCCTAGCTGCTGTAATTACCTCTGCCAACCAGACTCTGGGGCTTTCAAACAGGTAACACGGTGGAGTAGTTAGGTGTAGGGGGTTCAAGGGAGGTAAGGCGGAGTGTTTCTGAGACACCATCGGAGCGATCTCAGATACGCTGCTGAGATGGCCGCTATTTCTGGAGTCCAGATAAAACCAAACAGCCTCCCGCTTGCCTCTCTATTAAAAAGACCACGCCATTAACCCAAACAACTACTGTCACAATCACATACCGCATAATGTGTACTTTAAAACCCCAAAGCTGTTGAAGTGCATTTTTTATTCAAGTATTGATTGTGATTCTCAAGATTAAAGCATAAAGCAAACAGGATAATCACATGGCACAAGAAGCAGCAGTTGCGGTGGCAAAAGCACGATACAGAGTACGACCAGAGTGGCTTACTTTTGCAACAAATTTTGAACAAACATTTGTTTAATTTACCGTGTGTGTTGAAACAAGAGTTCTGCAGTGATTTGCACAAAATTATGCAGCACATTGTTTCAGCCCTTTTGTTCATATACTGAATTTCCCTCAGCACGCATTTGTGTGGAATTACTGTCTCAACCATTCTGTTTGTTGTAGCGCTGCTTTGTCACCACTTTGTTCTCTTTGAATGAGGAGTTACTGTGACCGTTTCCCACACATAGAGAAAACTCAACTGTGTTTGAGAAGAGCAAATAAACGGGGGGAAAAGAAAAAAAGTAAGAGCGGGGGTAGGGGCTCGACGAGGCAGGGACACGAAGAGGAGGTGAAGGGCGAAGACGAGAGCTGTGTTATCTAAGGCTGCAGCGCCGCATCATAAAAATAACAAATGGAGACTGTCACTGTTACTCTGATCTCAGTCAGAGGGGAGAAATATTTCATGTGGCAGGTCCCCTCACCTTTAAATGAGTTGTTCTTAGCCAGGTCTGATTTTGACAAAGCACAAGGCTCTTTCTGTCCTTACTTCCGATGAGAGCCGCCACCATCCTGGCTTTCATGACATAGATCTGTCCTTGGCACCATTAATGTGGATGGAGGTCTATTCTACTGTATATTAGCCTAGAAGCACTCGCAACTGATAAGTAATGCTACTATAGTGGTTGTCAGCTCATCACAAATATTTTGCAATGTGACATCATTGATGAATCTCTCAAGCATGAAGTAATAGTTAACTACCCTGAACCCTGAAATAGGGTACTTACTGTGAAAAGCCAAACTTATCTGTTAATTCTGCTTTAAACAACTCCACAAAGCCAAGTTCAAGAGTCAGGCTTACTTAAATCTGGGTTTATAGTCTATATATAAACATGAATTTGGAAAATAGAAGACATTGCTTCGCATGTTTATTTTCTTTTGCAAGATATGGAAAAACTGGTGGCTGACTGTGAAATTTTATGTTTAAAATGATCTTTATTATTAAACTATCAGCACGTGTCCTCTTATTGCTGCATATGAAGGCCCACTGTTTGCATCTTGGATATAGAAACATCCCACAGTTTTTACAGTCAAATGAATCCAAAACAGAAGCCGTATCGTTAGGCCCTCCACTATGAACTAGGTTGACACATAACCTGGGCTCCTTACCCACTTTAAAACACAGGTTTAAAATCCTTGACACAAATTTGACACGGACTAAAATTTTGTCTAAAACCATCAGCTCTAAAGTTTTCTGCATGCTTTTATTACATGTAGACTGGACTATTGTTATGCACAGTATACTGGAGTTAGTAAATCGTTTCTTGCTTGTTTAAAATTAGTCCAAAAATGCAGCAGAAAATTACTGACTGAAAGAAAAAAGAGAGATTGCATTACTGACACTGGCTTCCTTTGCACTACAGAATCCAGTATACAGTGATGCTGTTTGCATTTAAAGTCTTAAATGGTCTTGCACCTCCATATGTTGTACATATGCTGGATCCATAAGAGACTGCTCATCTCTGGAAGTGTGGCTGAAGCATAGGTTGTGTTTATGTTATTTTATGTTAATAGCTGGAATGTGTGTATAGAGGGCATTTTAAGAATTTTACTTTTGTTTCTGGTGGTATTAAAATAAAATATATTCACTTCCTTTATTTAATTCAGTTTAATTATTAAGAAAACCACTAAATTGTCAAACAAACTGACTAAAATGCACATTTGGTTTTCAACCGGTCACGGCAGATGGGTGACCCTCCCTGAGGCTGGTTCTGCTGAAGGTTCGTTCCTGTTAAAAGGGAGTTTTTCCTTCCCACTGTCACCAAGTGCTTGCTCATAGGGTGGCATTGTTGTGTTATTTCTGTATTACTGTAGGGTCTTTACCTTACAATATAAAACACCTTGATGTGACTTTTGTTGTGAATTCATCCAAAAAAAAAAATGCAAGTGGAATGAATTGAATTAGTTAATTTTGGTTGCAGTAAATCATTTCAGCTGATTACGGGATAATGACCTGTGGGTATGATAAGTATAATAATATTGAAGTTAACTTTTTTTTTCTTAAAGTCTCAGCTGAGTATCTGGTACAAAAGCAATAGGTGGCCTTCGCCATTAATTTAGAGCAGTGTATCGTTTTAATGAATGTGTTGTATTCTTTCTAGAGTGCAGTGTTTGATGTTAAGAAGTTGCTACATAATTACATCAACATACTACACTGGGTCAATATGAAGCCTAATCAATGTCTAGTATCAACAGATCAAGGATGCTTCATTCTGTGTATGTACTGCATGCTCCCACGCTTACACTCAGATCAGAGTTAGCTGAGATTACTCAGATTTATTCCCACTATCAACACATCACACAGATGAGAAGAGATCAATAAGAATAGATAACTTCAACTCAGTTTCAAGTTCAATAGATTCCCACTCTCTGCTGCTGTTAGCGTTATGACTCATTTACATAATCTATAGAACCAGGATCTCAATGTTTCTTCTTAATTTTGAAGAAAATAAATATTTTTCTTACCTTTGTGGGTCATGGGATCTCTGGATCCTCGCGGTAGAGGCGAATAGGGCAGTGGGTGGCTCTCTGATCCAGCCTCATTAAGTGACTAGCAGAAAAGGAATGTAGAAAAAGAATTAGCTATAAAGTTATAGCAAGCAAGCAGCAAACCACTGCCACATGGTTAAAAAATAATGCCACGTGGCAGTCTTTGTTCTAAAGTTCATTTTATTTTATTTACATTTTATGACAAAAAAAAATTTTCTTCCCATATGGACAAGGACAAGGTTTAATGTAATGGGTTAATCACCTTCAGTGGTGTTTTCCTAATTTAACTTATCCATTTATATTATAGTAAGATTAAGGGCTTGCTTTGAGCAAAGTACAACAGTAACATGGGGGTAATTATAAAATGGCACGAAATAACCTTTCTACACTAGACAGTGTGAATGCAAATTACATGATACATACTTCTCTTCGTTTAACTTCTTTATCTTATTTATTGTCCTACAACTGAAATGTGATTTTTTCATACATCCTTAGCTGCAAAACTGGACTGAACCTCTGACTGTGAGCACAGTCAGAGGTTCAGGCTAAACGCGTGTGATGAATGCGGGTTTGGGACAAAGAGAAAACAGTGGCCTCTATGTCATGAGACGGTATTCCCACACGGGTCAACAGTTTGTGTGTTGTTATTCTTTTGGTGCACTTTCAAGGTCCAAAACATTCTCTTTTTTTCCACCTTAGCCTTTTAGCTAGTGGAGCAGGCAGTTTATCATGACACAGCGATATCTGATGCCTTTGCAGAAATACTTTCCTTTCTTGCAGGAAGGAATTCACTAGGCCTTTAATCATAGCAAGAGACTCAAGTGACAAATACATATTAGAGATGGTTTGGAGCTGCATTTTTCCCACTTTTATTGTTGTTCCTCTACATGCCCATGCATAACCTTGAGAAATGGAATGGTCTGCACTGTTAAATGGAACCATATTCTTCATCGGCAAAGAGAGCAATGTGAACTGAAAACGATCACATAATGTGCTTTCAGATAGCATCTCTGAAAGGCATTAAGGTCTGGCCAGCATGTGTCTCATATTATACCAAGGAAAAAAAAAGAAGACAAAATGCGCCTATTTTAAAGGCCTTGCTACATGTATGCTGGAGAGTCAGCTTTTGAAAAAAAAAAAAATGCTGCTTAAAAGAAGAATATAGTTTTGACAGCAGACCTGCTGCTAAAAACCTCCTAAGAAATGTCACAGATCACTCCCCTGCTTCTGCGATGTATATTTATGAAGTAAAAGAACTAAAAATATGAACACATTGTACTCAGTAACTACTGTCACCTGACATGTAAGGAAAATAGTCGGGTATTTAAAGCATTGCACTAGCAAAACAAATATTGGACTGAGACTAAAGATCCTACAGCAAAATGTTCACCACCCATCTCATTTTTGAGACATCTATCAAGGTTTATTTAGCGTTTGCCTATCTTTGAATTTTGCCATTTTGGTTTGCAACTCATATTACCGATCAGTACAAACACACTCAGTGTTCGTCTATGTCACTTCATAGGAAAAGAAACAAGCGACTCAGGCATTAAGACGGGAATTGTGAGCTGTCTGATCTACCTTTATGCATGTCTGGGCCACCATAGAGTTGCGCCCCCTGCTTGCCTCATTTCCTGGTCTGCATGAAAGATCACAAGCCTGGGCCCCTTTAGGCCTGCTTGGCCCACAAAAATCCCCTCCTAATCTTGATGCTCGGCCACAATTAATCTTCCGGGTTGCCACATTATTAACAGCACCACCCGCAGATGATATAGGGGGTGCTGGATGAGAACAAGAGAGCACTACTTAGGTGTGGTGAATACTAGATGGAGCTTAGCACTCTGGCTGTGGTCCTATGGGACATTAGTCACCTTGTTTTCAGTGCTGAAACAAACTCCACCCCAGTGATATGACACCACTACTTTACCTCCTCGCTGTAATGCCTGCTGATCACACAGCTGACCCATAGGTGGCTGTTGTAACTCCAACTTCCACTTGTCTCGATCTTCCCCTTTAAACCCTCAGATCTTCATCATTAGCCCTTGACATTTGCACTCAAGCATGCATGTGAAACAAATGGACAATTTTTCTGTACTTGCTACGAGAGGATTAATAGCTTTATGTTTTAACACTTTTAACAAGTGTTTTTTTCCACCAGTATTTCTAAACTGGCTACTCATAAAGCATGGTCCATTACAATGAAAATCCAAAAACAAAGAAACTCAGAATAGAAAATAATAGAAAACTTTTGGTGCCTTTATTAAACATATTTAGAAAGTAGGTTGGAGAAACTAAGTGAACCCCTATTCTAATGCTGCTCAGAGTTTGGTGCTCCAATTACTGTAAGGAGCTGTTTGTTATAAGGTCACACAATGTCTGTACTGACAAAGTCTGCTCCTCCTAAATTACTGACGTGAATCATACCTCGTGAAAAACACATTTAAAGCATTTTATTGATGCACAAAGCTGGAAAGGGCTGCAAAAAGCATTTCCACAGATTGAGGTGCTCATCAAGAAACAATAAACAAGCTGGCTACGATTGGAGATTATTCAGGATTGTTGTTTACTCTCTATGCAAGTATGTGTCCCGCAGTGTTCAGACCAAGAGCACGATATGCAATCCTGGAAAAGGTGAAAAAGGACCACCAGGAGGTATCTCTACAATTTGTTAAATTTCTAAGATAAGCACTGAGTAAGACAGGTGGCTATTGAAGGAAGCTATTAAGCAACCTACCATTTTGCAGACACATATATAAACAAAACAAAGCTCAACACTGTGCGTTTCACAAATGAAGCAAAAACACTTCAGGGTCAATGTAAAGTGGACTGTTGAGACACAAAATGCTATGTTTAGAGGAAAGGGGGTGTCGCACATTACCACCAAAGCATTCAAATGTGAAGTCTGGTGAAGTGAGCGTCGCTGTTCTGCAGCTACTGAGAGAACAATACAGAAAACACAGGGCAGCAGTCCAAGGAGCTTAGAAGAGGTCGGACTCAGGTGAAGGTTCTACAAGTTTCTAATTTCTAATTTTTCATGCCTGCGCTGTGAGTGGTCAAGATGTACGAATCAAAACTTAAAAAAATCCAAATGTCATATAAGTTTGAAATTATGGCTGCGATGTAGACAATGATGTAGGCACCATTTTCTGATTAATTAATGCAGGAATCCTTTATATTACAAAGGGTTTGCAAACTTTCTGTCAAATCAGAAACCTCCTATGCGACCTGTCCCATCGTGTCCTTTTCACATTTTCCAAACAAGGACTTCATTTACACTCCATCTCCCACTCTTCCCTCTTTCCTGTATCATTTCTTTCACTCCCTCTGGCTCTTTGGCTTGATTTCTCCAGCTGTACCTACACTGAACAGAGGGAGGTGCTGCTGTGTTGTCTATGTAAGATGCTCCTGGACGCCCTTCTTCTCTCTCCTCTCTCTGCTGTCCAGATTAGTCTGCTCATCAAGCTGAGCATTGTTTTAATTTGCTGGGCCCGGGGCATATGCTGAGTGTTCACATCATTATTGTCTCTGTGCAATGTGAGTTATCACCACAGCTTATGATAATGTGGCACAAATTTACAGGCTTGGGAGCACCACAGATTCCGTGATAATAAAGGGTGGACAGAGGGGAGTGCAAAGAGGGAGAGAGAAATGAAGAAAGTGTGTGTAGATGTATGTGTGCGAGCGGGAGAGTGGAATAGGTAGAGAGAGGAAGCTCCGTTGGATGTCATTATGAAAGATGATTCCCATACTAGATAATACATCACACCAGTGCTGTCTGTCTTCTCCTTTTCAGTGTTGTTATGTGAATAAATGCTGATAAACCCAGAGGCAATAGTGATTATTACTTCCAACATATCATCATGAGAGAGAGGGGAGGAGGAAGAGGAAGACAGGGGAGGGATAGAAAAAGAAGAAAAGCAAGTCACAAAGAGAGCCACATGGAGCACATAACCACCTCCACGGTGGGGATTTTCAAAATGTAAGACACTGAAAAAGTGAGTCAGGGAAGCCTGACGCAAATCTAGTTGTTTTTCACATGCAACTGCCACAAAGTTTACAAAGTTTTGCAAGCTTGGCTGCGGATTAGAGATCTTGATGGGCGTTACGTTACAGTACATTATGAAGATATTAGTTCATCTAGAAGACTTCTCTCAAATCTGACGCCGGCCATCGCGGTGAGCACATAAAGCAACCGTGTTGCACCATGTCTTACACACTGTTTTCCTTTCTGGCGATCTGTCTCTGAAGTCTCCCTTTGACCAGCTCATCCTGACACAGCTGGTTCCTGCCTCGCCTCACCTCACCTCCCTCCTTAAGACTGACCAGCAATACAATCTAATTACAGCCGCGCTACAGAGGGAGACCAGTGTAAACACCAGCCCTTTTTATCTCCTTATACATCTGGACAAGTAGACAAAGTGCTAAAAGGAAATAAATGTGGCCTGACAGCCACATCAAAGAGTTCAGCCAGAGGCTTACTGCTACTTAGGGCACAGGAATGTTGTTGCTAAGCATCAGCCCGCAACCTATCAGGGTGCAAAGAGGGCCCTGTCCTGCCTTACAGAGGGAAAAGGGGAAAAGAGAGAAATGAAGAGGAGAGAGGGGAAGGGAGGGCGAGGGGAGGGGAGGGGGCTGACATTGAGGGGAGGCTAGGGACTCAAGGAGATTTTTGTAGCTTAAAGCAATTGTTGGAAGAAACAAGCCTTCTGTTTTGTTTTCTCTTGACACCATTTCTGCTTTTTGTGCTTGCAAAAGACATGTATAAAAATGTCTTTTGATATGTTTTCTCTTTGGGTCTATATCAAAATATTTCTTTTGTGTCTGTGCATGGAACTTTTTTCACATCTTGTCTCTATAAACTGGTGCAGCTTTCTGATCATGTTGGAGATCAGAGGAGACACAACTTGTGAACTTATTTGAGTCAACATTTAATGCTGGCATGACACGTTTATTTCTTCACTAGATGGAATTTTTTATGATTCGTGTTTCGCACTTCTAAAGTTTTTTTTTTTTTTGCGAGGGGAGGTTACAAACAATGCAACACTTTTAGAAATAAACAAT